TTAGATCCTTGTAATGCTGAGAAGGGTTCAGTTTAACAATATTAGTCATTGCACAAATGGCTGTTATTGTGTACAAAGTCCTCTTGGTTCTGCTCACTTCACTCAGCATCAGACCATATAAGTCTTTCCAGGTTTTTCTGAAGTCAGCCTGTTCATCATTTCTTATAGCACAATAGTATTCCATTACATTCATATACCACAACTTGCTCAGCCATTCCCCAATTGATGGGCATCCTCTCAATTTCCAATTCTTTGCCACCACAAAAAGAGTTGCTATGAATGTTTTTCTACATGTGGGTCCTTTTCCCATTTGTCTGATCTCTTTGGGATATAGCACTAGAAGTGTTATTGCTGGATCAAAGGATATGCACAATTTTATAGCCCTTTGGGCATAGTTCCAAATTGTTCTCCAAAATGGTTGGATCATTTCACAACTCCACCAACAATGTATTAGTGTTCCAATTTTCCCACATCTTCTCCAACATTTATCATTTTCCTGTTTTGTCATGTTGGCCAATCTGATAGGTGTGATGTGGTACCTCAGAGTTGTTTTGATTTGCATTTCTCTAATCAATAATGATTTAGAGCATTTTTTCATATGACTATAGATGGCTTTAATTTCTTCATCTGAGAACTGTCTGTTCATATCCTTTGACCATTTACCAATTGGTGATTGGCTTGTTGTTCTTATAAATTTGTCTTAATTCTGTATGTATTTTAGAAATGAGGTCCTTATCAGAGACACAGGTTGTAAAAATTATTTCCCAATTTTCTACCTTCCTTCTAATCTTAGTTGCATTGGCTTTGTTTGTGCAAAAACTTTTCAATTTAATGTAATCAAAATTATCCATTTTGCTTTTCATAATGTTCTCTATCTCCTGTTTGGTCATGAATTCTTCTGTTCTCCATAGATCTGATAGGTAAACTATTCCTTGTTCTCCCAGTTTACTTATGGTATCAGCCTTTATATCTAAGTCATGAACCCATTTTGACTTTATTTTGGTATATGGTGTGAGATTTGGGTCTATGCCTAGTTTCTGCCATACTCTTTTCCAGTTTTCCCAGCAGTTTTTTTCAAAGAGTGGGTTCTTATCCCAGAAGCTGGGGTCTTTGGGTTTATCAAATAATAGATTACTATAGTCATTGACTACTGTGTCTTGCATATTTAACCTATTCCACTGATCCACCTCCCTATTTCTTAGCCAGTACCAAGCAGTTTTGATGATTGCTGCTTTATAATACAATTTAAGATCTGGAATTGCTAGGCCACCTTCCCCTGCATTTCTTTTCATTAGTTCCTTTGATATTCTGGACCTTTTGTTTTTCCAAATGAATCTTGTTATTATTTTTTCTAACTCTATAAAATAATTTTTGGTAGTTTGATTGGTATGGCACTGAATAAGTAAATTAGCTTAGGTAGGATTGTCATTTTTATTATATTAGCTCGGCCTACCCATGAGCAACTGATGTTTTTCCAATTATTTAGATCTGATTTTATTTGTGTGAAAAGTGTTTTGTAATTGTGTTCATAGAGTTCCTGGGTTTGTTTCAGGAGGTAGACTCCTAAATATTTTATAATGTCTACAGTAAGTTTAAATGGGATTTCTCTTTCTATCTCTTGCTGTTGGGCTTTGTTGGTAATATATAGAAATGCTGATGATTTATGTGGGTTTATTTTATAGCCTGCAACTTTGCTAAAGTTGTTTATTATTTCAAGTAGTTTTTTACTTGATTCTCTAGGATTCTCTAAGTATATCATCATGTCATCTGCAAAGAGTGATAGCTTTGTTTCTTCTTTGCCTATTCTAATGCCTTCAATTTCTTTTTCTTCTCTTATTGCTAAAGCTAAGTTTCCAGTACAATATTGAATAACAGTGGTGATAATGGACATCCTTGTTTCACCCCGATCTTATTGGAAATGCTTCTAGCCTGTCCCCATTACATATAATGCTTGCTGAAGGTTTTAGATAATGCTATTTATTATTTTAAGGAAGACTCCATTTATACCTATGCTTTCTAGTGTTTTTAATAGGAATGGGTGTTGTATTTTTCAAAAGCTTTTTCTGCATCTATTGAGATGATCATGTGGTTTCTGTTGGTTTTGTGTTGATATGCTCAATGATGCTGATAGTTTTCCTAATATTGAACCAACCCTGCATTCCTGGTATAAATCCTACCTGGTCATAGTGTATTATTCTTGTGATAAGTTGCTGCAATCTATTTGCTAGTATTTTGTTTAAAATTTTTGCATCTATATTCATTAGAGAAATTGGTCTATAATTTTCTTTCTCTATTTTGACTCTTCCTGGTTTAGGTATCAACACCATATTTGTATCATAAAAAGAATTTGGTAAGACTCCTTCTTCACCTATTTTCCCAAATAGTCTATATAGTATTGGAATTAATTGTTCTTTAAATGTTTGATAGAATTTGCATGTAAATCCATCTGGCCCTGGAGATTTTTTCCTAGGGAGTTCATCAATGGCTTGTTCAATTTCTTTTTCTGAGATGGGGTTATTTAAGTATTTTACTTCCTCTTCGTTAATCTGGGCAATTTATATTTTTGTAAATATGTATCCATTTCACTAAGATTGTCAAATTTGTTGGCATATAGTTGGGCAAAATAATTCCTAATTATTGTTTTAATTTCCTCTTCCTTGGTGGTAGCTTCACCCTTTTCATTCTTGATACTAGTAATTTGGTTTTCTTCTTTCTTTTTTTAATTAAATTAACCAAAGGTTATCTATTTTATTGGTTTTTTCATAAAACCAGCTCTTAGTTTTATTTATTAGTTCAATAGTTTTCTTAATTTCAATTTTATTAATTTTTCCTTTGGTTTTCAATATTTCTAATTTGGTGTTTAGTTGAGGATTTTTAATTTGTTCTTTTTCTAGTTTTTTTAGTTGTATGCCCAATTCATTAATCTCCTCTTTTTCTATTTTATTTATGTAAGCATTTAGAGATATAAAACTTCCCCTGAACTGACTGCTTTTTGGTGTTGTCTCATTATTGTCATTCTCTTGAATGAAATTATTGATTGTTTCTATGATTTGTTGTTTGACCCAATCATTTTTTAGGATTAGATTATTTAGTTTCCAATTATTTTTTAGTCTATCTTTCCATGGCCCTTTATTACATATAATTTTTATTGTCATGATCTGAAAAGGATGCATTTAATATTTCTGCCTTTCTGCATTGGATTGTGAGGTTTTTATGCCCTAGTACATGGTCAATTTTTGTGTATGTGCCATGTACTGCTGAGAAAAAAGTATATTCCTTTCTATCCCCATTCAGTTTTCTCCAGAGGTCTATCATACCTAACTTTTCTAATGTTCTATTCACCTCCTTAACTTCTTTCTTGTTTATTTTGTGGTTAGATTATCTAGTGCAGAGGGGGAGGTTCAGGTCCCCCACTAGTATAGTTTTGCTGTCTATTTCTTCCTGTAACTCCCTGAACTTCTTCTGTAAGAATTTGGATGCTATACCATTTGGTGCATATATGTTTAGTAATGATATTACTTCATTGTCTATGGTGCCTTTTAGCAGGATGTAGTTTCCTTCCTTATCTCTTTTGATTAGATCTATTTTTGCTTTTGCTTTGTCTGAGATCAGGATTGCTACCCCTGCTTTTTTTACTTCAGCTGACACATAATATATTCTGCTCCAGCCTTTTACCTTTACCCTGTATGTGTCACTCTTTTTCAAATGTGTTTCCTGTAAACAACATATTGTAGGATTATGGTTTTTAATCCATTCTGCAATCCATTTCTGTTTTATGGGAGAGTTCATCCCATTCACATTCACAGTTATGATTACTATCTGTGTCTTTTTCTCCATCCTTTCCCCCTTTATGCTTTTCTTTCTCCTTTTTCCTTTCCCCCTTCACTAGTGTTTTGCTTTTGACCACCGCCTCCTTCAGTCCCTCCCTTTTATTATCCCTTTCCCTTTTCTTCCCCTTTACTTACTGCTTCTTCCCTCCTTCTCCCCCTCCCTTTTCTTTCCCCTTTTCCCTCCTACTGCCTATAGGGCAAGTTAGATTTCTATACCTAACTGATTATGTTATGCCCTTCTTGAGCCAAATCTGATGAGAGTAAGGTTCAAACAATGCTCCCCCCCCTTCTTTCCCTCTGCTGTAATAGGATTTTGTGTCTTTTCCTGTAATGCAATTTACCCTTGTCTGCCTCCTCCTTTCTGAGTTTTCTAGGGTCAGTCAGATTCATCCACTTATTTGGATCTATTTAAACTTGATTAGATTTTTTTTATCATTACATCAAAGTCAACTAATATCCACCCTCTTTATGTGTACTCCTTTAACAAGGTATAATAACAATACAGTTCTCAAGGGTTGAAAGTCTCATATTCCCTTGTAGCGGTTTAAACAGCCCCCCCTTATTAACAACATATTGTATCTTCTGTCCCATTTACCTTTTTGTCCTTCTTGAGTCCTGTACTTGAAGATCAAATTTTTCGTTGAGCTCTGGTCTTTTTATCAGGAAGGTTTGGAAGTCCCCTATTTCATTGAATATCCATCTCCTCCCTTGAAAAATGCTGCCTCCCTTGTTTTTGCTAATGCACTGGGAGATTCCTTTGAGGTATAGTACTGAGGCACCTGGTGGTTTTCTGAGCTGGTTTCCACCAGTTCCCTCATGCTCACTGAGGCATTTGAAGATCCAGGTGTTGGTGTTTGCCTGCTCTACCACCTGGGCTTCAGGATCTCTTCCTGGTTGACAGTTGGAGGCTATAGGGTTCTGGCAGCTTACCTGGTGTTGGGTTGGAATCAGCAAGGCTGGGACTTTAGGAAGACTGTAGGTTTCTTTCTTCAGCTCCCTTCAGATGAATGCTGCAGGTGCTTGTCTGCCTGGGGCCCTTTGCAGTGCTGCTTGCCTTATTTTTGCTGAGGCACTGGAAGACCCGTTTGCTGGGCTGCTGCACTGCTGCTCTCCGTCTTCTAGTTCAGTTGTTCCAGGGTTTTTATCTGGGGTGATATTTTCTAGATTTTCAGAGGTTGATAGGGGAGAGTGAGAGTGACTACCTTTTTACTCTGCCATCTTGGTTCCCAGAAACAGAACCTCCTTAGGACTCTTTTCAATGACTCTAACTTCCTTGGATTTCCAGAATGGAGTGCAGCAAAGGAGGAGGAAGAGGATTTCTCTTCCCTCATTCCCCCACCCTACCTCCGATACATGACTTACAGCAGGATCACATGGTAAGCATGGCCTATCCTACACTTGCTGAGATAACTCCGAAATTGGGAGTTCCTAGACATCTTGATTTCTAGATACTTACTTCTGTTTTTTTGATTCCCTTTTTTTGAGCACAAGTTGGAGGTTATTTGCGGGGTTTCCTCATCGATAATCCATAATTTAAGAGTTCCTGCCTGGTTGAGTCAGATTCCTAGAGGAAAAAATTTTCCTTAACAAGGAGCTTCTCAGAAAAGGGGACCATGAACAAAATAACCCTGCATTTAAAAGCCTAAAGCCATGTGATAAGGGGCCAAGAGATCTGGCCCTTGCCAACAATCTATAATCTTGCTATGAGTTGTTCAGGCATTACAGGTCCAAGATGAATAGGAGATATTTATTCAGCAATACCTCTGGGGAAATTATTATTTTCAAGGTGTAAAATACAACATTTTTGGACACTGCCAATGTGGGGATTTATTTTGCTTGATTAAGAATATTTGTTAAAAGGTTTTTTGGGGAGTTTTTGTGTTGGTTTTTCCCCCCAGTTGGAGAGGAAGTAGAAGAGACTAGTGATAGGATTGTCAAAATTTTAAAAAAAAGGATTAGTGACACATTTTTAAATGCACAAAAGAGAATGGGAGGAAGGCCAAAAAGAAATACAGGCAAGCAAAATAGCTTTGAAAGTTAGATATTGGGGCAGCTAGGTGGTTCAGTGCATGGAGCTCGGGCCTTGAAGTCAGGAGGACCTGAGTTCAAATCTGAACTCAGACCAAACACTTGACACTTACCAGCTGTGTGACCTTGGGCACGTCACTTAACCCCAATTGCCTAAAACCAAAAAAAAAAGTTAGATGTTGAATTTATTATATACTTAAAAGGAAAAACTTTAGATAATAGGCATTTGTGATTCATGTACAATTCTCTTTTTCTATTCTACTTAGTATGTGGAAATTTGTGTTCATTTTATTTGCTATTTGTTAAGTTCAGAATAAAAACTAATAAATTTTTCAAATAAGTTTTAAAAAGGAAAGGAAACTTGAAGAAATAGTCAGAACCAGGGAAGAACTGTGTCACAAAAACTTGTAGACAGATGAATATCCAGGGAGAGAGGGTGGTCAGTAGTGGTAAAGGCTGTAAAGAGGTTAAAAAGAATGAGGCTGGAAAAAAAAGACACTGGTTTTGTGCATCATCTTTTTTTCTGTTTTATTTTGAATATGAAAATGTTGATTTTATTTAGTGTTTATTACATTCAGAATTTAAAATATGTATGTATCTAGCACCCATGACTCCTTTGTATCTTATGTAGCTTCGGAGGTGGAAGAATTGACTTGATACTAGGCGGTATAAGGATCAATTAAAGAAATTTATCCTAAAAACAGAAGTCTTAAGGTAGCCTGATGTTAGCTAGGTGATGCAGTAGATAGAGTACCTGTCCTGGAGTCAGGAGGACTTGAGTTCAAATCCAACCTGAGACACATAACACTCACCAGCTATGTGACTCTGGGCAAGTCACTTAACCCCAACTGCCTTGCCCAAAAAAAAAAACCTCAGGAAAAAAAAAAGATGCCTTAGAGACAAAGATCTAAATAATTTTGTACAGCAACAAGCATTTATTAAGCTCCTACTGTGCACAGGGTATTATATTAGAAGAGATACAATGAATGAATGAATGAATGAATGAATGAATGAAAAGTATTTATTAAGCACTTACTATGTACCTGACATAGTGCTAAATTCAGATAAAACAAAACCTGCCCTTATTAATTTTCCTGAAAAAATATAACCCTTTACATTGTGAAATATTGATTTAAAAAATTGCAAGAATTTTATATAAAGGATGTTTTCATTCTTATCCATATTTGTAATTGCAGATGTTCCTGAAATGTTCTTTTAGAGATAACCTATTTAGACCTAGGAGGGAGGGTCACCTAGTTCACCCCTTTCACTTTACAAACTGGGAAACTAAGGCCCATGGAGGGGAAGTAACCTGCCCAGTATCAAATAAGAAGAAGAAAAGGCGAAAAATCAAACCCAATACTCATTTCTGATGGGGTATGGGCCCAAGCCAAGACCTCTGCCCCTTGTACCAAAAAGAATTTGGGTCCCATTTGTCTATGGGCCCCAGAAAGCTCTTAAATTTTCTTTCACCTCACTCTGGTCTCAAACAGCTACCTGAGGCTATGCTCCACTCAAGGCCTTTCCTTATCAACTCTCCCTATCTCCCTTTGAAAATCTAATGAAGCTTAGTCTTTGACCCTAGTGTATTTCCCACCTTTCATTATCTATTCCCATTGTCTATTCAATCTCGCAGACTTTCCCATAGGAATTCTCCCTAAACTCACCTCAACTCCAAGTTCATTCTCCCAGACCCTCCTCCAAACACCCAAAATTATTTCAGTGTATGTAAGATCTACCCAAGCCCCCATTTAAATGCTGAGAATTCCTCGTCCTTATGGGCATCACTAATGTTCAGATTCTTTAAGAGTCTGGCTTGTATGGTTTATCTCTAATAAAAACCTTTGTCTCTGGCTGAAAGAAGATTTGGGTCAAATTCATTTGGGCAGGGCCTGCTATGCCATTTTGGGATCCCAGAACCCCAAGAATCTAGACATCATCAATTTCCATTATACCATACTGATTTTAACAAAGAAAAATCCTACCTTCTTGCTCTGAAAGTAAGCAGTGTTGAGGAGTGTGCTGATAAATATTTAACAACTGGCTTTCTGGGAAAAAAACACACACAACTTTAAGGTTTAATTTGCATTATTAATATTGTCTCCATCACTTTCTTAAGTCTAAGATAAGCAACAAAATCATAAATCAAGTTTTGATTTGTGCTTGCTAATTTCCATGGTATAAATACTCACTTTGAAAATTTGTATGGGGGCAGCTAGATGGTATAGTGGATAGAGCTTTGACCTTGGAGTCAGGAGGACCTGAGTTCAAATGTGACCTCAGACACTTGACATGTACTAGCTGTGTGACCCTGGGCAAGTCAGTTAACCTCAATTGCCTCACCAAAAGGAAAAAAAAAAGAAAAGAAAATTTGGATGGACTCTCCCCAACTGGTTCAAGCTGACTCCAAAACACCTCTGATGCTTGTATCCCATCTCATTTTGCCAGTCAAAATTACTAGTGTTAGCCATTCTGTGGTCCAATTATTTTCTGTAGGAGTGAAAGGAAGGCTGCCCTATACCTGATATGCTTTTTTACCTTGAGTTGCTTATATGAGGATCCTTTTACTTACACCTGTGGATGGAATGCTGCCCATCTCATGTCCAAAAGGTGTAAATATGCAGAATGAGAATCACATTTCTGGATGTGACCAATGTAGAAATGTGTTTTGCTTGACCGTACTTTTTGTTGCAAGGGGTTGCTTTTCTTTCCTTTTCTTCTCCAAGGAAGAGAAGGGAAATGGAAGGAAAAGAGGATAGCTGCTTGTTAATTGAAAAAAATTTTTTTAAAAGAAAAGTAGCCATCACTGGAAATGTCTGGTCAAAGGATAGCTCTGACAGAAATGTCGCAGACAAGATTCTCAAGTAGGAAGAAGGCTAGATTGGATGACCTCTTATTTCTTTCCCAGCATTCAAGATTCTAGGATGTCTATGAGTCACTGGCATAAGCACTAGACACAAGAATGCCAAGACTTTGAGTGTTAGCCACAATGTGAATGTCACATTACCTCTCAAAGCCTCAAGTTCCTGTAAAAGGTAAAAATACAGCAGAATGCACCTCCCCCACAGAGTAATTGGAAGAGCTAGGTAATTTAAATTACCCAAAGCACTTTCCAAATCTAAAATGCTATATAAATGTTCATTACTCATTTATGGGAAAGAATTTGTTTATGTTGTGATTCAGCTTCCATCTGCACAGTTCATTATTTTTGAAGCTTCCAGGATCATTTGGGCAACAGTGAGAAGCCATGGTATTTGCACAGATATTTGATTTTTATGCTCTGATTTTCTTTGCCTACACTTACATACTTAAATGATGTAGTGACTAGAGGCTTGTCTTTGGAGTCAGGACAACCTGACTTTTTTGGAAAGCCTGGGACTGCCAGTCCCTATTACATGCTGCCTTTCATTTAACCTTTCCTTGGCCCTCAGGAAATGCTTTTTTAAAAAATAATTCTTTATTGATGCTCTTTCCCTCCAAGAAGAAGCCTTCTCTTATGACAAATACATATATATGTATATATACATATACACACAAATATAAAATCAAGCAAAGAAAACCAAGATATTGCCCTGTCTGAGAATGCATGTCTGATTCTGTAGTCCATCACATCTTTGTTAAGAAGTATGACATATACCTGATCGTTAATCTTTTGAAGTCATGATTAATTGCAACGTTAGTCAAAGTTTTGAGGTCTTTCAGTTGTTTTTTATTATATTATCATGGTCATCATACAAATTGTCCTAGTTCTGTTGACTTCACTCTGCATTAGTTCATACAAGTCTTTTCACATTTCTCTGAATCTGTCACAGTCCTCATTTGTTATAGTGAAATAGGATTCCATCACATTCTTTTATTGACATTTGTTCAACTGGTCTTCAAATAGGGAGCACTCACATTGTTTCCAGTTCCTTGCCACAACAAAAAGTGTACATATAAGTATTTTCCTTCTATCCCCGATCTCCTTCACATACATGTTTTGTTGGGTCGAAGGAAGGTTGCGTATAGCTTAAGAACTTTTTGTCTATAATGCCAAACTGTCTCCCAAAATAATTGAATCAATTCACAGTTCCACCACCAAAACACCAATGTGATTGTGCTCTCACAACCTCTCCATCAATTGTTATTTTCTTGTTTCGTTATTGCTGCTGATCTGATAAATGAGTAAGAGGAGAGGACTTGGAGGCAATATTTGTATATAGTTTGTTCTAGGAATTTGACTGAGAAAGGGAGACTAGATGTAAGATAATAGCTTGAGGACATGGTAGAGTCAGGATGGTTTTTGAAGGATGAAGGAGACTTGAGTGTGTTAGAGGGAGCTGATAGAGAGACACCCAAATTTGAAGAGAGGGAATAATTAAGGGGAAAGATGAGGGGATATGAGATCAAAGGGATATTGACAAGAAGGGCTTCCTCATCAGAAACTGCAGTAAAGGAGTGAATGGTGGATGATGTCAAGGAGTTATTGAAGGTAGGAAAGGGGAGAGGAGAGAGATCCTAATAAATGGCCTCTATTTTCTAAGTAAAGTATGGGGCAAGGTCCTCAGCTATGATAGTCAGGGGGAGAGGTTAGCTTAGCAGGATTAAGGAGAAAAAATAAGATTTGGAATAGTTACTAAGAGTAGTGGGATTTAGAAGAAAGGCTTAAAAAAAAGTCTTATCCCTAATTGAGGGATATAGCATAACATAAATTTGTAGAGGATCCATTTGGCTTGGTTGTGTGACTTTCTCCAGCTCCATTCAGTAGCATGTGAATAGGAGTGAGGAGGTAGATGGTGAGATCATTCCAGCAGAGTGGTCTGACAAAGTACGAGTAACAACAGAACCATCTAGCAACCACTTAGTTGAAAAATGTCCTGAGACAGCCCATTCTGATTTTGAATAGTTCTAGTTATTAGTAATTTCTTCTTTATATAGAGCTAGAATCTGTCTCTTTTCGATTTTTACCTATGACTCCCAGTTCTGTCTAGGCAAAAAGAATAAACCTAATGTTTCTTCTACATAACAATCCCTGAAAATACTTGAAAATGGCTATCATCTCTCTCTGTTTGTTAAAATTAAATAACTGAGATGAATTGCTTTAAACATGCTCATTTATTCCAAATGACCTTCTTATGGTATGGTTTCCAGTCCACTCCCCATCCTCATCAGCATTCTATAGCTGCCTTCCAGAGTTTATTGGATCCTTCTTAAAGTATAGTGACTAGAAATAAAGCACAGTGCTCCAAATGTGGATTGACAAAGACAAAGAAGAAGGTTATTATCTCCCTTCTTCTGGACGTGTACATACCAGCATCTTAAATGTAAGCAAAGATGGCAGGGGGTTTGTTGGTTTGTTTGCTTGCTTTCTCTACCACATATCATCCTGTTACAGAACTTCAAAAGTATAAAGGACTTCAGAAGTCATCTAGGACAACCTGACCAAGCAAGATCTCCTTTATAGTATCTGCAGCAAGTGATTGCCCAGCCTTTCTAGAAAGATCTCTAGTAAAGGAGAACCTGATTCCTCCAGAAGCTGCCCCAGCTTAGGAACAGCTCCTTTTGTTAGGAAGTTTATTTTTTACAAGGAGCCAAAATCTACTTCTTTCCTACCTATTGCTCCTAGAGTTCTCTCAAATTGAGTTGGGAGTAAGTTAAACAAGTTCAGAGATGTTTCACATGAACTATTGCCTACTAATTAAGTCATCATTCTGTATTTAGCCAATTTCTTTTTTGATCCCTTTACGTTGTTTTTTTTTTCTTATTAGATCCTCTTTCAGTAGATCAGGCTTACCATGCAAGCCTGTTAAGACCTCTTAGATATCAAATCTGTATCTGATGTGTTATTCAAGAAAACTAATGCAATCATAATTATTAAAAGAAGCATGGAATCCAGAAAAAAGGACATGACAATCTCATTATGCTGTGCCCTGGTCACATTAGAGCACTTTGTTCAGTACTAGGTGCTGCCTTTTAGGGAAAACATTGATAACCTGGAATGTATCCAGATGAAGACTGAAAGAGTAGAATAGGTTGCCTCAGGAAATAATGTGTTCCCCATTACTGGAACTCTACAAAGGTTGAATGACCATTTGCCACATAGATTGCAAAGGCAAATTATGTTCAATTATGTGTTGAAATATGGGCAGCAAGGTGGATCAGTGGATAGAGTGCCAGACCTGAAGTCAGGAAGACTTCTCTTCATGAGTTAAGATCTGACCTCAGACACTTATTATCTGTGTGACCCTGGGCAAGTCACTTAATCCTGTTTGCCTCAGTTTCCTCATATGTAAAATGAACTGGAAAAGGAAATGGCAAACCACTCCAGTACCTCTGCCAAGAAAACCCCAAATGGGGTCACAAAGAGTTGGACATGACTGAAACAACTCAATAACAACAACATGTGTTGGAATAGATGGCCTCTGAGGACACTTCCAACTCTAAGATTCTGTGTTTTTCTTGTTATTTTCTTACTTAAATTTCAACTCTGTTAAGCATTTTTGTTCTACTCAACTTCTGTTTTTCTTTTCTTTCTTCTTCCAAGGTGAAAAGTCTTTAGACTAATCTTTCAAAGATAATTGTCTAAAGGCTATTTTCCTTAGAAGAGGAAACAAAAGAAAAGGGGAACTGAGTCACTGATGGCGTCATTACAGACCATGTACTATTATTACTAACAGGGAATTGATATCCAGGATAAGCAGGGAGATGATTATGATTTTTTTAAAAAAGTACCTAGTTTCCCTTGATGATTTCTTATCACTTTACCCAAATGAACATTGTAAGTCACAGAAAGAGCTCTGCAACCACATATATTGTCCATAATCATACCATTATACCATCATACCATCAACTTTGAATTGTACTGTATGGGGAAAATATTTAGAGTGGTAGAGATAGAGTCTCAATTGTTCTTTATCTGTTCCAGCCTTCTCACCAGCCCTATTTAAGGGCTTCTTTATTTCCTTATTTTGTCCATCACAAAGAAAAATAATACATGAAAATGAAGGCACTGGAAAAGATTATCCCTTAATGTAATTTCTAGATCAAAACTCTATGATGCCTGGGCAGCTA